TGACGCTTCCTTCTGCCTCCCCTCTCTGGAACAGGAGTCCCCGCGGGGCAGGGATTTTGTCTTGCTCATCCTCCACACCTAGCCTCATGCCTCTTAGGGGTATAATCAGGATTTATTGAATACGTAAGTAAGCAGATGGAAAAATGACGGAACAAGTCATTTGCAGCTCCTCTGCGCAGCCCTAGGCCGCGTCAGGGAGCACGGTGAAGGACGGACAGCACGCTCACCGAGGTTTCCGTTCCATCACCTCAGATTTCCCTTGTAGCCATTCAGTCGCTGGCCGCATCATCCCTCGCTTGTCTCCACCCTGGCCGGAGGCTGCGCTCTCATGGCACGGTTCAAAGGCAGTGACTTTATTTGGCTCCTCACAATGGGGAAACAGGGGGCAGTAAGTTACTTCATTTCTCACAGCAGCCTTCCTGAGAGCTCCTTCTCTGGGGAAACCTTGATCCATGGTGAACGTCTGTAGCATTCCCGGCTGGAGCCCTTGGCAAGAGATGGAAGGGGAGGATGACAGTGCCAAGGAGGCAGCTGAAGGATCGTCACCCTGGGAGCCACAGCTCCAACTGGCTTTTTCCAATGGGCCATAAAGAGTGAGCGAGGCGGGGGAAGAGGAGGAGCACCAGACAGACAGATCAGAGCTCCCGAGGGCAGCCACCGTGCCAGGCCCACCTGGGGAAGTGGTCACACACACTCTGGGGGCATGTGGCTTCGTAACCCCTGTTCCATCACTTGCTGGCTCCACAGTGTTAGGCAAGAAATCTGAGCACGATGCCTCAGTTTCCTTAGCTTAAAAAAGCATAGGGAGCCGGGCGTGGTGGTGCACGCCTGTAATCTCAGCAATGGGGAGGCTGAGGCAGGAGGATCATTGCGAGTTCGAGACCAGCGTGGGCTACAAAGTAAGCTCAAGGCCAGCCTGAACTGCATAGCGAGACCTTGTCTCAAAAAGACAAAAAAAAAAAAAAAAGTATGGGAAGTACTAATATCTACTTCGTATGGTGGTGGGGAAAAGAAGTTAATAGTAATGAGTGTTTAACAGGGTATATAGTGCATAGGAAGTCCTACATTAATTTCACTATGTAAAATTAAGCTGGACCCTTGGGTTATAGCCCCACAAACTTCTTTCTGTCAAAAGCTTATCCTCAGATCGCTGTTATGTTTGCTATGAGAAGTGAGGTAATGCCTGTGAAGACTACAGCATGTTAGAAGCTTGTTATTTGTCATCAAGATTGCACAGGAAACTGGATTTAATGGTGGGGGGGTGGAGAGATGCTGAAGTGTTGTCAGTCATCAACTTCTGGTTATCTGCCTTGTTGAGGTCTCCATCTTGTCAGCATCATCAGCTCTTGGCTTGTTCAAGTCTTCTGCTGACAAGAGCCAGGCTTCTCACGGTTCCTCCCACAGACAATGGGGCAGCTAGCCCAGGGCGCCAAGAAAAAGCAGTTTGAAAGCAAAACTGGTCCTTCCATCCATACCGAAGAGGCAGGTGAGCTTCCTAACAGCAAGCTGTGAGAGAGGGGCCTGGCACCTGCACAGCCCACTCTGTGGGCTGTTCTGTTGAGTAGAACAGAATGAGAGGGTGACCAGCTTGTTACTTAACTTCTCCGAGTCTCAATTCTTCTATACAAAATGGGAATAATTATGCTAATTCAAAAGATGAAAAGCACCGGGGATATAGCTCAGTGGCACAAGCACCTACCTGGCAAGCACAAGGTCGTGAGTTCAATTCCCGGTACAAAAAAAAAAAAAAGGTCTACCTAAAACTGCCCAGACTGGACTCAAACTCATTGTCCTGTCACTTCAGCCTCCCAGAGAGCTGGAATTGCAGGCACAGACCACCGAAAGGTGAAAAACAACGTGATGTACAAATTCATTGGTATACGGCTGAGCCAATCAATGGCAGTTGGTATTTCCTAACATTTTGCATTTCCTGCACTTCTGCCACTCCCAGGGATCGAGAAGTAATGCTAACTTCCAGACTAGAAAGGAGGTGGTACCAGAAAAGTGATTTATAACTATGATTTTTTTCACATTTTACTGCCAGAGTGTAAAGTAAGGGTTGATCCACCCATCCATCCATTCAACGGATGTTTACCAAGTTTACGTGGTTTGCCATTATCTCGTTCATTTGTGTTTGTCCTGCTCTCACCACCAGGTCTGCAAAGGTCAGGAGGGTAGGGACGTTGTCTGTTGCCAGGTGAGAGAATGGATGGAGCTCGAGGTGTATCTGAAGCTGTGAAGGTTTGGGCAGGGAGGTGGAGGCAAGCTGTCTGGATTCTGGGTCAGTTATACCTCCAAAGGCCTAACTTTCCCTTTGCCTGGAGCCTTTGCAGACCTTCCTTCAACTGTGAGGCACTGCAGGGTCGCTTGAAACCAGACCCAAGGAACTAGTCCCCATTCACCCACTATGTCTCTGAAGCCCCAGAAGAAAGGTCCAAGGTCTAGAAACTGAGGGGCACAGCAAGTGGACAAAATACCAGCAACAGCAGAGAAAGAAGGGAGTAGCCCCATAATATTTAAGAGGAGGAAAATCAAGAGACATGTCCAATGCACTATTTTCCCACATGTAAGACATACCTCCTTTTATTTTGTGTACAACCATTTTTTTTTCCGGGTACCAGGAACCAAACTTACGACCTCACGCTTGCCAGGCAGGCGCTGTGCCACTGAGCGAAATCCCCAGCCCCTATTTTGTGTTTGTTTGTTCGTTTGTTTTTGAGACAGGGTCTCACTATGTAGTTTAGGTCACCCTTGAACTCACTATGTACCCCAGGCTGGCCTTAAATTTGTGACATGCGCCACCAGGCCCAGCTCTTGTTTTATTCCATTTTATTTTACTTTATTTTATTTTATGTTTTGTTTTGTTTGAGACAGGGTCTTGTTATGTAGTTCAGGCTGGCCTTGCACTCACTGTGTAGCCCAGGCTGGGCTCAAACTCATGATAATGCTCCTACTTCAGCTCCTGAATGCTAGGATTACAGGTGTGCACCCCCCCTCCCAGTTGGCAGGGCACACCTGTTCTTGACCACAGAACTCATTCTGTATGATCCAGGCTGTCTAGACACATAAGAGAATAGAGGAAGTCATAATTTCAGAAAGGTGGAAGCAATCCAATGTCTACCAGCTGACAGCAGATAAACAAGATATGGTACGTCCATACAACAGATATGATTCAGCTCTGGAAAGGAACGATGTGCTGACGCATGGTTCCATGTGGATGAACCTTGAAAACATGATGCTAAGTAAAAGAAGCTAATCCCAGAAAGCCACCCACTGTGTGGTTCATTCCTGTGAAAGCCCACAGGAGGAACACTAGAGAGAAAAGAGCTTGGAGACTGCTTAGGCTGGATGGAGTATGAAAAGGCAAGGAGAAGCGAGCTAATGGGTACCAGGTTTCTTTTGGAGCTAATAAAAATGTTCTAAAATTGACTGTCTTGGGGCTGGGGATTTAGCTCAGCGGCATAGTGCCTGCCTGGCAAGTGCAAGGTCGTGAGTTCAATTTCCGGTACCAGGAAAAAAAAAAAAATTGACTATCTTAAGGGTTACACATATCTGTCAGTAAACTAAGACTATTGAACTGTATATTTGAAATGGAGGGGCTGAGGATTTAGCTCAGCAGCACAGCGCCTGCCTGGCAAGCTCAAGGTCATGAGTTCGATTCCTGGTACCGGAAAAAAAAAAAAAACCAAAAAACCGAAAATCAAATGGAATTGTACGATACGTGAATTCTATCCAAAGAAAGTTTTAAAGGGGTGGGGGGAGGGCAGCTGAGAAGCAGCAGGAAGGCCACGATCAGAAACAAAGCCCAGGCACTATCCAGACTGGCTGCCCCCCAGCTTAGAGTCTACACCCCATCCAGGCACTGTTGTGGTAGCCCCCAAGCCATGACTCAGGAAGATAAATTGACCCCAGAAGGCATGGAGCTGGGTCCCTTCTCCTCTGACAGCTCCCTCTCTGTGTTTTTTCTGGCACAAGAAACATGCTGTCTTCTTGTATAAATAGGCGAAATTTATGAGAGTTTTCCCCCTGCTTCTCCCTGGTGGGCTACTAGGAAAGGCCTAAGGGGAGGAGGAGCCTCAGATTCCAAATATAAATGTGGAAAGACCAGAGGGAATCCGAGAGATCTCTGCCTGCTTTGGCTCTGGCCCCAGCCCTCCTTTCCGCCTGCCTCTGGACCATCTGGTGATGAAGAGAGTGAGGACAGAGGTGTGGCCACCTTTCCTCCAGGCCCGGGGGAAACAGGTCTCCCAGGCAGATGTCCAACAGGAGGGGAGTGAAAATGTGGTTTGGTTGGTGCAAGCCCTCTTGGAGGAGACAGATTCTTCTGACCAGAGTTGGTTATTTTCGTATGTCCTCGTTTGTTGATGTGGTGGGAAAAGAACTTGTCTTCGGTTCAGAAAACTTATCAGAACAGCTAAGTGTGTGACCTTAACCAAGTCACATCCCCTCTCTGGACCTCAACTGTCAAAGAAAGAAAAAAACCAAAACAGATTGCCTTTATCACGATTTTTCACACTGGTTTTAGCTGCAAAGGCCTTTCTATAAATAAAACTTTATGTAGTGACCCAACACATACAATGGCAGCCTGCCCACCTTCACAAGGGTGGGAATGGGAGATGCCCGGGATTCTGTGGTAACTGTCACGAGCATGATCTCCAAAGTCCCCTCTGGCTGTGTCCCTGGGAGCAGATCTGGCTCTTGGCGATGAGTATAACCCCGCTCTCCCATCGTGAGTCCACTGGCACCTTACTTAGCTGCTTGAGGCCTCAGTTCCCTCATTTGTAAATTGGAATAATAGTAACATATCTTAGAGGACTGTCATGAGAGGCTATTACACAGTGCACTTAGAGACCTAGCATAGTATCTAGCTCAGTAAATTTTATTAGTATAGTTATTTCCTGGAATCCTCTTGGTGATTGTGAATGGACTGCTTTGGTATGAGCTGTATTAGCAAAGGTAATAGCAACAATGTGATCACAGAAAGGCCCCCAAACACACTAGCATATAGAAAATAGTTTATTTCTCACAGAACATTCTGGAAGGAAGCAATCTTGGGTAGAGTCAACTCTGCTCCACATGGTCAACTACGGACATAGGTTCCTTTCATGTTGTTGCTTTGCTCTTCCTAGAGATTTCTCCTCAAGTGCCTTGGTCAAACTCGGCCTCAGGCTCATCTGGCCAGCACATGAAAAGGAGAATACAGTGTCCTGGGGCTCTTCTTCCCTGCTGGCCTCAGCTGGTAACAAGGGGTCACTGGGAAACGGATGTCCAGCTGGGTTGCTCTCTGCCTTCCTACAACAAAGAGAGGAGGGAGTTGAGTGGACCGCCGGCCATGTTCATCGAGGGCTCAATCTCACACCTGAGCCATCTTCTTTCCAAGGAAAGAGAACAAAAGGCCATGGCCTAATTGGACCCCAGTCTGGTCTCTGCCATTCATCCCAAGATCAGCAGTCCCAAGAAAATGACTGGGAAGCCTCCTTCCAGAAAGCATTTCCTCCTATCCTCCTTCCTCACACGGCTGTGAGGAACGCCTCCGTCCTCACTCCCTCTCGGTCTCACTCCACTTCCTACCCTTTTCCCACCACTGGTATGACTACAAACATGATGGAAGTACAGGGATGACCTGAACCAGAAACGGAAGGGGACACCAAGGAAGGGAGGCCATGCTCAGCCAGCAGCCCAGGCACGGGACCTGGTGCCTGGAAACCCAGCCACTAACTATGTGACCATGGATGGTGGCACACACCTGTAATGCCAGCACTTGGGAGGCTGAGGCAGGAGGATTACCATGAGTTCAAGGCCAGCCTGGGCTACACAGCAAGACCTTATCTCACAAAAAGCAAAAAACAGAACAACTTACATGGGCATTAAACACTCTGAACTTCACCTGGCATGGTGGCACACACTTGTAATCCCAGCACTTGGGAGGCTGAGGCAGGGGGATTATTGTGAGTTTGAGACCAGCCTGGGCTTCAAAGTGAGCTCAAGGCCAGCCTGAACTGCATAGTGAGACCCTGTCTTAAAAAGACAAAAAACAAAACAAAACAAAAACATTCTGAACTTCAACTGAAGTGGGCATTAAAGATTTCTAACTTCAACTGAGTCTTTGGAAATAGGGTTGAGATACCTACTTGTCAGAGTGAGGATTAAATGAGATTATATATATACACACATATATCTGGCACATAGTATGTCCTCAGGAAATGCTAACAGATTTTACTTGGTGCCAGCCAGGCCAACCTTATTCATACTCTCTGCTCTCACCCAGCCTTTGTGTGGGTCCTTTCTTACTCCCCTTCCTTGCCAATGCATGACTCTCTCCCATTCCAATTATTACTATTACTATATTATTATTATTATTATTATTATTAATTATTTTACCATACCAAGGACTGAACCCAGAGCCTGTGCACACTAGGCAAGTGGAGTGCTCTACTACTAGCTACATATTCAGACTTTTATGCTTTTGCTTTTGAAATAAGCTCTCACTGAGTTGCCCAGGCTGGCCTTGAACATGTAATCTGCCTGCCTCGGCCTCCTGAGTAGCTGGGATGATAGCTGTACGCTCCCTCTCAATTCTTTATTTTCGATCTTCATGCCCAGTCTGAACCTGGCTCATAATCTCTTCCTCCAGGAAGTCTTCCCTGACTGAAAAATTTCCACCTTCTCTTCCTCCTCCCCAGCTTGCACCTCCCCTTGATCCTGGCCTGGTCCTTGCCCCAAGTTTACATGTGTCCTGCCCACTCTCCCTTCAGAAAGTCCCAACTCCTACTTTAAAAAGTATGCACCATGGAAAAGATGAACATTTGTTATCACGCATCAAATAGTCCTATGCCTTAAAAAAAAATTGTGTGCTCTATTTTCCTGTTTAATTTTTTAAAAAAAAGATCAGAGCTTGGGGGCCAGGGATATAGCTCAGCAGCACAAGCTCTTGCCTGGCAAGCGCAAGGTTCTGAGTTCGATTCCTGGTGTCAATAATAAAAAAAAAAGATCAGAGCTGTTACTCCAGTGTTGTTATCTCGCAGCTTCATGGCATGGTCAGGTCGCTCCTCTGTGGCTCTGGTCCTCCACCCTCTGGTGGGGTAGGGCTGGAACACAGAGAATGTTTAGTACACATTGCCTTCCCCAGCCCACACTCTGCCCCACAGGGAGATATTAGACCAAGAAAGTCAGTCCCCGGCCGGGGATATAGCTCAGTGGCACAGGCGCCTGCCTGGCACGTGCAAGGTCCTGAGTTCGATTCCCGGTACCAAAAAAAAAAAGTCAGTCCCTTATCACCACCACCTCCCACCCGAGCCACGGGAAGGAGAAGGAACTTCTCCCTGGAAGTCTATGGCCACTCAGAGGGCACCACCAACGAAGAAAGAGCCAGAACAGAGGCTAGGGGCAAACTGGAGCACCCTAGGGTTACAGGTCCCAAACACAGCCCTAGTGCAGGACTAGACCCAGGGCAGGGCGACAGAGGGGAGCAGATCACAGTCACAGAACCCAAGTGAATGAATTCACATTTACTAGCAATGTCCATGTACCAAGCACTTCATCCAACCCCACAGGAGCCCCTGAGAGAGAACGTGTTTTTTGCTATCCTTGTTTTACAGGCCAAGAAACTAAGGCAGATAGAAAAGTCGGGCAGCTTGTTTAACGTCACAGGCTACACAGTTTCAGAAGCCCTCGCTCGTCGCCCCACCCGCCTCCTTGTCCAGGTGTGCCTCTCTTCACAAACCTGTTTCACACCGGGGCCCACAATGCTTGTCCCTTTCCCACACTGCCCAAACTTGCCTGTCCCTCTTGCTCAGCTCTCATCCACCCTCTTCCACAGCTCCTGAAATTCGGGTGAATTTCACCAGGCTAAGACCCTCGGGCTTTTCCCAAGCAGGACCCCACTGCGCTTGATGGCGGCTCGCCCCCAGGGTGAGGAGAAGCCCCTTGGTGGCCAAGCTGCGAACCCACAGTTATAACCCTCCCCCGCCTCTTCCCATCACTCATCTGGGAATCCAGGGCGAAGAAGGGAGCTCAAGTGCAGAGTGTTCATTTAATATTAACAAATTGAAATGAATTCTTCTAATGCCAATTAACTTGGAGCGGCCCCTTATTAATAGTAATTTAGATTCATACTTGGGAGAAGCAGGGACGAGGGCTGGGCCAAGTG